CATACTTTTGATTCATCCATTCACAAAAATCATCATTCACTTTTGGATCGATGTGGCTTGATAACAGATCGTCCGCATGAAATCGAATAGTTTGTTGTTTGCCGTTCACAATCTTGTTGGCAATACATCCATCGTATGGATTGAAGATAAAACCATGTTTCTCCATGTCTCCTCTCAACTTTTTGTCCAAAACCACTACCCATCTTCAACCCAACCTTAGAAAACATCTTCTTTTAGGCAATCTACAGAGGCTGGACAGACAACTTCGTGCCAGTCTTTGCTTCCTTGACTGCAGCTGTCTGTTTTCAGCTCTCTCATTTCCACAGAGACTCCCTTTCACACTATGAAGAAGCTCCAGAGTGGCTACACTTTGTTGGTGCAGTGCAAATAACGACGTCATGGGTGAAATATGTTGTTTTACCAATGACTTCTGTCTCTGCCTAGAGATTGACTCTAAGTCAGTCTTTGTGGCCGTTTCTTAAGCAACAACCCACCTCCTATGTCACCAGATTTGACATCAGGAAAGCTGCGGAACTCAGCAGCCTAATTTCAGAGATCAACAAGACCATCAGTCCCCCCATAGTGGTCTCATTGCAATATCCAAACCCAAGAGATACTGAAATGCTGAAGACTGCTGTTGCTGTTTTGATTGCTGCAATTCTCAACAACCAAGTGACCTCAATGTTCATTGTGTATGATTCCAAACCAAAACCAAGTACTACATCAAGCCATTGGAGATATGGATCTCTTACCAGTGTGATCTGTGGGTCTCCCAACTTTTGTACAAGACTGAAGGTTTCTGCCAACCAAATTGTATCTAAAATTGGAGAGCATTCAGAACTGCATCCAGTGTTAGGAGAATCACCTAGAATAGGTTGGGCTTTTGTGAAGAATGGAATTGAAAACCATCTCTCAATAGAGTTAAAGCAAAAAGTGACTATTACTCATGATTTAGTACCTACCACAATTTTGTACTGCATTGGACTATTTCGCATTTCATTTCTTCTCATCGTTGTCTATTCTTCTCCTGTTGTATTGGCAGTTGCCCTTGCGTCCACGCCTGGTGGTTGTGCCAGCTATTTCTTTCTTTGCACAAGAGCAACCACCTGTGCATTTCCCTTTCTTGCATCCACATTTGGTGAACACTGATGTTCCTTACAAGCACCAGCCAGTGTGGTGAAGTCATAGTCACTTTCAGTGAAGGTGTCATCATCCATCTTAGCCTTTGCTGCTACAAGCTTAGCTGGAGGTGCTGCCATGCTCAGGTTCCACTGGCTTTCTGGTACAGACATGGCTCTTTTGGGACTTCCGTAGCCTTCAATCCTATGTTGAGTAAGGATCTTAGCGCCGAAACCTGGACCAACCTCCAATACCAGACCCAAAACTTTAGAACCATGGGAAGAAGTCTTGTCTCTTTTGTCCACTGGTACGATGACAGTAACGACTCTCTCTAACTTTACTGTTTCCGATATAGGTCAGAGTATCTTCTGTGCTGCTTCCGCTGTCTCTCCTTTGCAACTTTCTCAAATTGTTTCCGTTTGAAGCCTTGGAGGCAACAGCAGCTTCTTGTTTTGTGAGACTAGATCTATCAGCAGTTGGGTTTTCAGACTAAAAAGTCGTGCTATCTAAATAACGAAACCACTGAAGATAACGATTCTGAAGAAAATAGAGAGGCAGGCGCAAAATGGCCCACAGGCTTGGAGAAGTGCATGGCCATTTGGTAGAATGAGCCAGTTGGTAGAATGGCGCAATACTGGCGTCAGCGCTGACTGGCAAGAGTACCGTACCATTCTGGAGTAACTATTTTACCAATACCATTATATTTTACTAAAGCCAAAGAGGGAATCGGTTACAAAACTTCTCACCAACCACTCACCAAAGCCTACTATGGGTTTGTCTTCAAGCTTACTAACTCCTTTTCTCCTACAGTACCATCCTCTCGCGTCAACATTTCCACCGTCCCTTTACCTATTACTCCCGGTTCCTGATTGCAACGAAGGGATACTAGATTTCGTTTTGTCAAGGTAACGTGAACGAAATATAATGTTTTCATTTCCTCATCGACACTGACATCCAGTGAACTCCCAACTCGCAATCATACATCTCACACTCGAAATTTGCTTTAGGCCGAATTCAACTATTCGACAAAGACACCCATTCATTATGTTACAGTCTACACGTTTGATTCCCGCCGACTTCTCTTTCAACCGACGCAAAAATGCAAGTATAGCAGGAAGGTTTGTGTTCGGCAATCACACGTCGGCCACTGCCGCCGGTGTCGTAGCGGGAGTTTCAGCAGTTTCTGATTTTGATGAAGTTTTTATGCCTGATACCTTCAGCATTGGTTCAACTTTTGCAAACGCGGCTGCAGCCGCTGCATCTGCATTTCGCTCCTTCTTCAGCCGTTGTTGTTCTTCTGCTTCGTCCTGTTTGGAATAAATCGCAAACGACAGAATGGTTACGTTAGAGCTCACCCTTCTCCACTATTTTGTCACGAGGTTTGCATGTAAATGTCTTACCTGTTTCATCATTGCAGAGTGGTTTTCTTTTAGTTCCATGTCAGTATTGGTAATGAGTAGTATGAAGAAAGACGAAAGAAGATCTTAGGTTGAGGTGACGTAGTTCTCGGAAAGAAACAGAGCAGAGACAGCGCACCTTGAGCGATTTGCAATGCAAACTTTCTGATTATCCCAAGACCCCAGTAGAAGGCAACCGCAATAACGACTGAAGTGATTGCCACTGTTTTCGCGTCAATTATCATGATGTCGCTTAACGGTAAGAAGGACACCAAAATGAGACTACAAAGTTCCCAGAAACAGAAAGCGTCCAGATGATAATTGGCTTTGAAGCTTGCTTTCAAACGTAGACCACAGTGCGTTTCGTGATGATATCCTACTGGCCTTCTGTGAAAGCACGCAGAGACTGATCTCCCTACCGGTACGTATCATCGAACCTAAGTAACATGCCTACTGTAGCCTTTTTTATCCGAAGAATGGGTTGACTCGTTCGACTCAATGCTAAATTCTATCTGTCGAATAGTACGGTATTAGTATTACAGGTACCGGTCGTAAAACTGTGGGATCAGCTTTTGGAAAGATGCATCCATGAAGCAGCTATGATATTTCGTCTATTTCAGCAACATCGCTATTCTCCTGGCCATTATAGAACCGCAGTAGGTAAAGTTGCCACTCGACAGGTCCAGGTCCAGCGTTACTCTTTTGCGCAGCATGAACACCCCAGCCATCTTCTACAAACACTTGAATTGCGTCAGGTGATGCAACCACAGCAGGCCAAAACTGATTTCCCATTACTGTAAAGTCGTTGCCATCATTCGTGACTTTTGTGTTCTCGCGAGTAACTGAAACCATACAACTTCGTTGGATACAAATATCGGCAGTTGTTCTAGAATTCCTTTCTTCACTGAAGGTTTCCGTTTTTTCAATCATGTCAAGGCCATCAGCACCGGAGACCAAGACAGTGAGGGGACTGTCAAATAACTCCGATTCAATCTGGTCGCTGTTCCCAGACATCACAAACAACTCTTCCTCTTTCGAATTGATTACAATCACAGCCTCGGCCCCCACCTGGTTTCTCGATTTGTCTTGAAAAGTACAGGAACCCCTCTGTACTAATTGTATTCGGGATGACCTGTTAAACATTGTCGGATGTCCACAATGATCCTGTTCGTCTGTTGAACACGACTGATCAGTACTATCTTTGCAACCTGCTTTGTCACCCTGTTTCGGTGTTACAAGCTGAGCTTCGACACGGATCTCGCTCGTTGAGGCCAAATTATTCGGATGAGTCACTCCAAAGAGGGCTGGTGCACATGGATATCGTGCCAAAACAGTTCTCATGGATTCACGACCTCCGGTAGTTGGGGTATCGACGTACCGTTGGTCGATGGGATACTCCCCAAGGACATGTGTTGTCTCGATGATTTCAACGACACAAACATAAGAGTTGCTTCGATTGTCTGTCATAACAACAGAGCGATGCGCTTCAGTATCGCTATGATGCACCACATCAGATTCACGAACTTCTGTTTCCTTCAGATATGGTATCCTGTGGTCGACCATAAAGTACTTGTCTCCGCTTTGTATGCTCGCAGCATCTTGAATTATCGTTGTTGCAAGTGACTGCCCGCTGCCAATATGTTTGATCGAGAAGCCAGCACCACCATCAAATGCTAGTATTTCAAAGTTGCCCAGGTCACCGCCATCAAAACGTTGACTGACAACCTCTTTCTGTTTTTCGTCGCTGCTTCCTGCAGCTGGCGGTTGGTTTTCAAGGTATTCGACCACACAGAAAGATGTCGGGTCGAACGCTTCAATCACATGAACGCCAAAGCCATACCAAGCAAGGGCGTCGATAGAACCCATCATGAGAAAGCGACTCTCACCGGGGTGTACAGCATCCCGTAGGGTTGACACATAACTAGTCGTATAATCAGTTCCACCACCATTCAGTGCATTAATGTAGAGAAGCTCCGAAGAATAAAAGTTTGGACACGACTTAGCGAGGGCAACACCATTTCCATTCCTTCGTAACATTAAGTGTGCATCGTTCAATCCATTCTGAGTTTCGCCAAAAACATCTAGACCACGGTAAACATGATCAATTGACAAGATGGGTTCTGTCAGAGCAGCTTCGGTGTTGTTTCTCCGGTGTGCGGCGTTTTCATTCTCCTCACTAACAAATGGATAAAGCTTTTGTGCAAAAGCCTCGAGAGATGTGCCGATTGCCCATTTTTCCCTGTCTAGCCCATCCCACCTAAAGTCTTGGCTATCAGGATATCCAGCTAGCCTAGATCGAAGGCGTCGGATCAACTCTTTCTTTCGATTTTCTAACCTCGATAGTTTCTCTTCATTATTTGACACATCGGCATGGTGAATTGGATGGGCTTCAGTAGTAAAGATCCAATCCCTATCTTCGTCGTCATGGATTATGTTGTCGTCGTCAAAAGTGAGGTAAAGATACTTCAATGTTTCGCTGAGAAAAAATGACGGCATGTCGTCGATGAGCTCAGCACTTGCTGGGCTACCTAATGCAGCTGCACCGGTCGACCAAGGAGCTGTCTCTCGCAACGAAGCAAACCCACAATTGGAGCGAGTAATCTTGTCGAGAGCTTGGAGCGCGTAGTCTGCAGCCCATTGCCAACTAGAGGCTGACATGGACATCTGTGGTCTTTGCAGGCCTTTGGTGGCCCTATGTAAGAAGTAAGCGCTTTCGATGAGTTCAGGGCGCAAAAAATGAGATCCGCCGCCACCATCCACCTTCCAGTTTCCATAATCAAAACGCTCCGGAAGAAATCCAAGATACTCTCGAACAAGGAAAAAAGAATTAAGCGAGCGCGCGGCGGGAACAATCTCACCAAGGAGTACTTGCATCCCTGGGTAGAATGCCATCAAAGCTTCAAAGATCCGACGAGCTACTCCATTCGTTGACAATCCTCTGGTCAAGTCTACATCAGCGTACCAATCACCAAGACGCGATTCATTATGCACTCCGCCATAAGCTGAGAGGGCCGAGTGCCAGAAGCCGTGGTCTTCAGGAAATAGGACATAGTGCTTGACCAAGTACTCATAAAATGAGTCGGAATTTGATCCTATTCCACTCAATGATTCTGTCCACTGTCCGCGTTGGGTGCAAATATGTTTTCCAAAAGTGTTGAATTGAGAACTTCTGACCCAGAGTGCTCGCGCAGCAAGCTTTGCTGCTTTTCCGTACTCCATGTTGCCTGTGAGACGCGAGAGCAACTCCATTTCCAATGATAACGTTCCACCTCCTGCCAAGGATGCAATTGTCGTTTCATCTAATGGAATGCCACTTAAAAGATTGACCGTTCCGTAAGGAATGCCTGTATGAGTAGCATAAGCTGGCAGGAGTCGGTCACCAATATCCTGTGCCAATTTGAGGAAAAAACCGTCATATTCCCAGTACATGTTTGATTGGTCCTGGCAAGTCGCTCCGCGAATCAGTTGAGTTGTACAACGGGGAATCGACGAGACAAATCTATGAGAATCATCTATTTCTTGTGCATCATAATTCCTCTCACAGACTAACGTTCTGTCATTTCCGACCAGGATCGCGCCAGTAGAATCCCAAACATCTGCTCTAATCACTTTGTCACTCAGAAACGCCTCTGCCAGTTGGTGGGCGGACAGCAGCCCGCCTAGAATCCGAATATTTGTTTCAAATACACTAACATTCTGATTTAGAGCAAAGATACCTCCTTTTCCCGATTCTCCAGTTTTGCTGTCCATGAAATCATTGAGCTCACGCAAGCGTTCAACAGACCGAGCAAATTCAGTGTAGTTTCCAAGAATGACAAGAGTGTCAAGTGAGTCGATTAGCGTGAGGGCAGGTATTCTGACTAGATTGAAGACAGCAGGTTTGCAAGTCATTGGCTTGATTTCGCTGGCAGGGTATGCGTTATACATATAGCTGTCGTATGCATGTTCGAACATGTCCTTTATCAATATTCGATTGGATTTTACTCGAGATTGCGGAAGAGGCTTTTTATGGAAACATGAACATGTTAGGTTCCATTCTACGCAGCTGTAAAAAACATCAGCGGTGTTTTGAAACTCTTACCGGCATCGATTCATGCAGCGATGTTGTCAGATGAGGATTTGACGCATCAAACCCTTGCCTTTGTGTCCTATGAAGATATGAGTGAAGTATTGATTGAATGCGATCACGAGTTGCGTTGCTTTGGGGGTCCGGTACGTGCTCCTCCTTAATGTCAGTTGTTCGCAACTGATAAGGTCTACATGCATGAAGTACATAAGAGCAAATTTTCGGTTCGTGAACTTGCGATATCGTATAGTCTTGCAAATTGAAGTCTTTGCAGAAAGTAGAGGATTGATCATGGATAACAACAGCTGCCATTCGGTACTCATTTACTTCGGGGCAGAAGTCGCCTGACCTGTATATTTCAACTTCAGACACGGGAAAAAGCTTCTTTAGCTGATTATGGAACATTCCTGAGACGTCTGCGGATGAAGGAAGGTCCAAATACGAGCCCAAGCTGATTTCTTTGTCAAGAAGCATCCTTGGGTTTCGTTGTCCTTGGGAAACCATTGACTGTGGACACCACTTGAAGGACCAAAACGACCCTTTTGATTGACTATAGAAATAGCAATCATTCTCATTCTCATTTCCCTTTACTTGGTGCTTCCACCGTAGTGATTCTGTCGTCTTGACTCCGTCCGCAGAGTATGTAGAAGTCGTTTTGAAGAAGTGCTCATGTAAAGTTTTTTCCATCAGCAATCTCCTTCGACTTGAGGCACCAGCGCGACTATATTGATGATTTCGACTATTATGCGATATAGACTGTGTCGCAGTTTTTTTCGATGCTATCCCATTTGGATCGAGACTCTTTTTCAACGAATCCCACAGAGACAATATAAAGTTGTCATTCTTCGCGTTCACTTCAGCAGATATCAGATCACTTTCTGAAGATTCTACTATCCGAACTCTCAACAACAGTGGTAGAAGGAGCAACAACACTGCAGTTGACCATGAAGGGCGGTTACTACGTTGACACAATCCGAATAATTGAAGCATTGCCTTAAAGCAATGAACAATAGGAAACGACAACATGAACATCTCAAAATGGAGCACGGGGTCGATGGTGTCTGTCCACCATACGCGTACGTGTACGCGATTGTGTCATTTCACAAAACTACAGTAATTGGGATGAAACGTGATATTATACTGGATACTGGTATTAATTAATACGAGTACAGAAAGACAAATCTGCATTATTGTGATGAAGGATGGCTATAGGAAAAGTTGCTCATGGAGGCAGAACTATTAGAAGACGAAAAAAGCAAAGAAAAAATCGTACAGGACATGGGAGAAGCTACATGATGCTGCTGCTAATCCTTGGCTCCTACATTCTTGGATTCAAGCTGATGGCTCGGTACTTCAATTACGGTATGCGTCTTGGCGGAGACATTCCGAATGGTCTAACCATGGCGCACAAATCGTCTTATGAATCACCCCTGATAGTATTCACATGCCAGAGGGCAAGCTACCTTCGAACCACGCTTACCGATATTCTCAAATACATTCCTCGTCCGTGTACCTTTGGGTGCCCTGTCATTGTTTCACAGGATGGAGAGAACTCCGATGTTGAAGCAGTGGTCAGTGAATTCCAAAAAGAATTTGCTTCCATTGGTATTCCTTTGATTCATATTAACCACAAACGAGCCTTGAAAGGTGCCGAGGGTGCGTACCAAGCTCTCTCAAATCACTACGGGTGGGCGTTTTCTCAAGTTTTCAATGGAAGGATCAATGCGAACTTACCTATGCCTCAGCGAATCATCGTTTTAGAAGAAGATTTGCACATTGCTCCAGATTTTTTCGGATATATGGCAGAAACTTCGAAGATACTGGACAAGGACTCGACGCTTTTCGCAGTTTCAGCATTCAACGACAACGGCCACTTAGTCAACAATCCAGAGCGGGTACTGCGAAGTGACTTCTTCCCAGGTCTTGGGTGGATGATGAAAAGATCATTGTGGAAAAGTGAGCTCGAGGCAAAGTGGCCAGAAGGTGCGTCGCGTATTACTGCTGCTTCTCCAAGACGGCATCTCCAAGACGGCAAGACGGCAGATCAATACTCACTTACTTGCTCTCGTTCAGGATACTGGGATGATTGGTTGAGAGAACCAGCTCAGCGTAAAGGCCGACAAATACTTCGGCCAGAATTCAGTAGAACTTATCATTTCGGGTTTCATGGAGGGGCAAGCAAAAATCAGGTAGGTCATATTTTTGCCTTGTCACGTTTGCTCCACTTTCAGAATCTTATTCATTGTCTATTAGTTTGGTTCGATTCTGAGACGAGTGCGGCTATGCGAAGAATTCGTGGACTGGGCTAAAGTAGACCTTTCCTACTTGGAGGAAAGGGCCTACGCGAAACTCTACTTGTCCTTGTTGGACCATTCAGTCCATGCGCAATCAATCAAGGAAGCACGAAGGGCACTGAAAAGAAACAAAAATGTCGTTGTAGAATATTCTGATTTTGATGAATTCAAGGTGCTGGCTAGGAAACTTGACATAATGGATGATGAAAAAGCAATGGTTCCTCGTACAGGGTACAAAGGAATTGTCGAAGTCAGGCCATTCGAAGGAAGCCTTCTTTTCCTTAGACCATCAATATAATCGTTGCAATAAGGTAGTCTACTATAATTCTCGCAATCGAAGTCAAACGTTGCATACAACGTCAACGCCAATCGCAGCACACCACAATGGGAACAACTGACACTATATTGTTTAGTCGGATCTTTCATCTACAGTGGCTAGCTTGATAGCTCTGGCCAACTTGGAATTTGGAGCCTTGATAACTCGTGCAACCTTTGTCGGGACAGCCTTGATAGATCCAGCAATCTTGGCATAAAGCTCATCCTTCGATGGTAGATTTCCAATAGCTTGGACACCTTTGTCATCATAGTATACCCCCTCGACTACACCTCCGAAAATTCCATGTGATTCAATCTTTCCGCTCTCCTTGACGAAAGACTTCCAGGCCTTGATGGTCCCTCCGATGTCTTCTTCGATGAAAAACCACATGTTAGGTCCGGTCAACATCGACGTAGCAGCTTCATATTCTGTTCCTGCAACAGCACGAGTCATGATTGTGTTCTTGACGACAGAAACAACACTTCCTTCTGGCAGAGAACGACGAAGCTGCTGTGCTTCTGCGACTGTGATGGATTTCGCAGGGACAGCAAAAATCATGTCGGAGGACTCCAACAGCTCTTCTACTCTAGCAACCTTGTCCTTCTTTCCGTCAAGAGATGTGGCAAACCCAGATGCTCCTCCGAAGAGAGCGGTCTCGTGTGCTCTAGGGACAGCTTGTTGTTGTCCTACGAACGCTGATGCAGTGCCTAGCGATAGGAGAAGAAGGAAAGAACGCATTTCTAAGATATATGTGAGCCGATGGGGGTTTCTTCTGTATTGGGTGATGGCGCAGTGTGAGAGGCTGTGAAGAACCGTTTCCCGGGGATGTTCATACAGCTACTGGTACCCACCCGTACCGTACTATCAGCCTTCACTTGATTTTCACTGATGGCTGACGCACGAGGAAACATCAGTAATCAGTACCAGGGACGGCCGGGAAAATCAATATTTACTCTTAAGAATTGTATGCTAAATTTCTATTTCCCGGCCGTTCCAGTACCAGTACCAGGTACTGTGGACACGAAACAGACGTGAAATCGATGAAGAATGATGGGTGTGAAGAACATACCTGCCGGTACAGACATACAGCCAGACGATACGCATTTATGATTAATTCGATCATGTTAGGATCGAACAATAATAAGCAACCACAATATTGTAACGAAACAACGATACCAATGAACTTGGAATTGCTTGATCCATTTCGCCGACAGATACCCGATCGAGTGGATGCAACCCTTAACCTTCCTGATGATCTTGATTCTCGTCTGAAGAAAGAACTCAACGAAGGAGATGGGGAGGACCAAATGTATGCGACTCATGTGGCTTTCAACCGACGCGGGGCATACATAGCCGTGGGATATGGCAATGACATGATCGGGGTCTTTGATGTTTTGAGTAGAACTTTAAGCGGTTTTTATCGCAACAGTAATCACGAAGCTTTGATGGCTTTGCCTTCTAAGAGCACTCCCATTAAAAAGGGACTAAACTTTGTGTCTTGGTCACGACGATCGAGAACAATCGTTTCAGGTTCCTCAGGAGACACTGAGATTCACATTATTGACACAACCCACCCCCTTGGACCGGGAGAGTGCTGTGTGGGGATCGTAACAGATGAAAAAAAAGAAAAAATCGATGACGGGGATCAAAATGATACAACAACGCCAGAAACAAGTTCCCAAAATCGCACTTCCTCGTCATTTGCTAGAAGAAAGAAGCTGGAAGATCACCACACAAAAACGAGATATCTGAGTGTCGCCGTTGTTGAAAATAATGGAATATCAATAGGGGAGACTGGCGACAAGGTCGTGGAAAAGCCTCATGTCTCAGTGACTGCTTCGTCAAACAAGAGGTACCCATCGCTTGCATTCGCACTCCCCTTGCCGATCGGAGGTTTTTTGCAAGCCCATCCCAGACTTACAAGTGCCGGACTTGCAGTTTTGAATGATGGCTCAATAGTTGCCTTCTGGGTCCCATCTACTGGATGGGAAGATTATGGGGATGATGACCAAGCACCTTCCGTGAAGGTGGCAACAATTTTTAGAGACGAATCCCATTTCATCACTTACGCAGTAGTTGATCCACAAGGGGAAAAAATGTATGCTGGGACGAAGGAAGGGAAGATTATTGGATTCGATGCAAGCGCTGTTTTCGATCAATTTGAGGTTGCTTCTTCGGTATCCAACTTGACCGTAGGGTTCGTCGTCAGCGTACCAGGTCGGTCGTCAGTTTGGGGTCTTGTGATAAGTCGCAATGGTCAAAAACTTTTAATCAACAGTGCGGACGGCGCACTTCGGTTATACAAAACCACAGACTGCTGGGCAACGCCAGAAGTCGTCGACAAGCCTTTTATGGTGTTTCAAGATGTGGTCTCAAAAGCAAAGTTTGCGTCCTGCGATCTGTCAGGGGACTCTGAATTTGTTGTTGGAGGAGCAAATGGAGGTGACAACAAATATGAGTTGTACATATGGAACACCTCTACCGGTGAACTAATGGACAAGCTGACTGGAGCCACAGTCGATCTTCTTGATGTTTCTTGGCATCCAACACGGTCATTCATAGCAGTCGCAACTTCGGATGGGGTTGTGGATGTATGGGGACCAAGAATCAACTGGACTGCATTCGCTCCTGACTTCCAGGCTTTGCCACACAATGTCGAGTACGTCGAGTGTGAAGATGAATTTGACGTTGTAGAAGGTAGTATCGACGAAGCCAACGAGAGAGCGGAAAGCTGTAGCCAGGCAACCGACGACGTTGACATATTAACCATTGAGCCTGTTCCTGTCTTTGCGTCTGATTCCGAAGATGAAAGCGATGTATTCGCTTTTGAAACAAAAGTAACAAGGATTCTTGGTGGAATAGCGACATCATGAAATACGTCCTACTCTAAAGTAGAACTTGCTAGTGTTGTGCTTGGTCAATTATGTAGCGAGTGTACACGGTTGGGAAAAATACTATGACATGTGGAGGGACGTTGGCAGAGGTCATCGAATCGAAAAGGTCGTGTCCACTAGAATAGAAGGTTCATTGTAGTGTGGCCAGATTGTTTTGTTGCCCACGAGCGAATCTTCATACCAAATCATGTAATAGGCGTAAGAGATTGGCTTCGTGTACAGTCAAACGGGTAACTTTGTCAGGGTAACTTTCGTCACATTCAAAAGATTCTCGTCGTATCACACTGTCTCAGAGGAATCACCATCATCGTCCACACAAGTTTGAATATTATTTTGCCGACCAAGGTAAAAACAGGAGAAAGGATAACATGTGGGTTGATCGTACACATGTCGTTGAGAAAACAAGAACCCGGCAATGAGTGTTCCTTGCTTCTTTACTGCAACCGTTGGTTTTACGACAATGATTCTTCCCCCCGACAACAGGGTTGGATTCGAGGAAAAGCCCATTTTTTGAATTTCTGCCAGTAGGAAAGGTACATACGCCATAAAAACCTAAAGTCGACGCTTCCATTTTAAACTGATTGGAGTCAACGACCTTGAAAGACAATGAAGATAGTACTCTATGTTGGCGGAAACAGAACTGCAGTTGAGATGGACGAGGCTAATATCATAGATGCAAGGTTCAAGCGAGAGGCTTCAGAAAAGACGATTTACAAAGTCGACCTAAGTTGCCGGCAATGGAAAAGGGAAAGCCTAGACATCATTGCACCTTATTTGAAATCCCAGTCGAAATCAGTTAGATTCGTAAATTTGGCAGATGTAATCGCTGGATTGATGACCGATGAAGGTCTAGGAGTCACGCAACTTTTGGCTGAAACCTTCGAGTCTTCTGACCTATTCGAAATCGATCTTTCGGACAACGCTATGGGTAAGCTTTGTTCTTGCGGCTTTGTTTTCATCCACACTTCCACCGCTTCGGATCATCAATCTAACAAAAAAATGATAACGAATTTCAGGTCCGAGAGGACTTGTCCGCTCAGAGGCATTTTTCGCCAACTCATCGCTCCAAAACTTGTACCTATCTAACTGTGGTTTGAGTGCCGAGAGCATGAACCTCTTGAATGATTATTTCACTAGGGACAATGAGCGAATGTACAAATCTCTTAAGGAGCTAGTTCTTGATAAAAATATGATTGGTGAGGCAGGAGCCCGAACTGTTGGAGAATTCCTTCCACGACTTGAAAATTTGGAATACTTCTCTTTCAATGGATGTCGCCCAAACACGGAAGGCACCAAATTCTTGTGCGATGGGCTGATGGAGCTGACCGTGAAAACAAACTGTGTTTTGCGCCGTATAGAAATGGAAGACTGTACTTTTGGTTCAGGAGAGGAAGATACCGACCCAATTATTTCCTTCTGCAGTGCAATTGCGAAGTGCTCGCGGCTTCAGCGCCTCAACATCAATGAAGGGTCGCTAGAAATATATGGGATCAAACGGCTTGTTTCCGCTTTGAAGGAAGCTAAAGCGCGGCTAACTCATCTCTCGCTAGGTACGTACGCACATATGCCAGAACTAAGCCGATTGCTTTCGAACACTAACTCGTAACACATACATAGGTGGAACTGGGGAATACCAGGCAGAAGGAGCTGCCGTTCTGGCAGAATACCTGCACGACCTCTCCTCATCCTTGATCCATCTGAATTTGGATTTCAATGAATTGGGTGATGATGGCGTTGCAGTGCTTGTTGAAGCGTTCGCTGCTTCACGCAATGTTCTTGAGGTTCTTAGTCTAAATGGAAATGAAATTGAGAGTGTTGGAGCAAAAGCTCTCGTCAGGACAGACTTCCCAAATCTGAAGCGACTCAGTCTGGATGATAACATGGACATAGCGAAAGACCACCTAAAGTCAAAGTATGGGCCAATTGCAGTATTTGGGGACAATGATGACGAAGAAAGTGAAGCAGAACCCGACAGTGATATGGATACATTGCTGCTGCAGTTTGCCGCAGCCAAACTTTAGAAAGTATCTCATCTACTGGAAACTCGACCAAGCTACTGTAGTTATGATTCTAAAGCCCCAGCTGGGACGTATTTTGAAAACCACTGTGCTGTACTGTGAATGTATGTGAAAAAGGGCATTCGAACTAGTCGACGCTATAATATCTCAGATTTCGTTTCATTTTCATTCGATACTACTTCTCTCAATACGAACCGCGGGATTAAGAGGAGCCATTGGATACAATTGCACGACCGCTCTCGAATTGGAATGTCAGGGATCATCGTCGCTGGGGTTGAAGCAGGAGGAACAACATTTGTGGTATGCACTGCTGAAGTTTCGACCAATGCCAAACCAAGAATATTACATCGGAGAGCAATTGATTCCTCTCACTCAATCCCAAAAGATACCATCCAACAGTGCACAGAATTTTTCGAAGACTTGAAACCTCAAGGCGGTAGGTCAATATCCTACACTGTACTCTGGTCTATTCGTTCTGTAACAACAAACTTCTGCCTTGGTTTTGTATTGTAAAACGTTATTTTAGGCTATTACGCACTCGGAATCGCCTCGTTTGGTCCTATTGGCTTGAAGGAGAATGACGAATACTACGGTTGCATCTTGCCGGGGTCGCCGAAAGCTGCATGGAGGAATGTTAACCTTCTGGCACCATTCATAAAAGCTTGCAAAGGAACAAGAAATCTGGCGGTGAAGATTGAAACGGACGTCAATGCCCCAGCCTTTGCTGAGTACCTCGAAATGAAGGATATCTTGTCTTCAGTGGCATATGTGACCGTTGGTACTGGCGTTGGCGTTGGTTTGGTAGTGAATGGGTCAACTGTGCATGGTTGGATGCATCCAGAAGGGGGACATGTGCCTATCCAGCCGCTACCGGGAGACATGTTCAAAGGATACACCTGGGGTGGTAAGTATCGAACCCTAGACACTCGCCCTGAAAACAATAACTAACTTGCAGATTTAGAGAAATCACCTTTTAACGGACGCAACACGGTGGAGGGAATAAGCTCGTCTGTCGCACTCACTGAACGGCTGGAAATGATTACTGGCGAGCGGAATCTGTCTCGAGCATCTCTTGTATCCCTTGATGACGACCATGAGGTCTGGGATCACGCCGCAAATGCACTCGCAAATCTTGCATCTACCTTAATACTGACAACATCTGTTGAAAAAATCGTGTTTGGTGGTGGTGTAATGAATCGAAAATGCCTTTTGGCAAAGATTCGAGAACGGACCGTGCAACTCTTGAACGGCTACCTCGATTTACCAGACTTGTCCACGTTCATCACCGCAAGTAGTTATGGATCAGATGTCGGCCTGATTTCCACAGTTATGTTGGCGCAACAAGCGTACTATAGTAGTCTTACCAACGCTGAGGACAAAGACAAAAACGGAGGCAGGTTAATGCCATATCAAAAGGGGTTTCTTCATGGCTCATTGATGGGCGTTTTCATAACTGTGGCAGGCGCTCTTTTCATACATAGTTTCCCAAAAAGATACTAACATGATTTCAATGACTATTTATTAGTTTATAACACTCTACGTGTTGGACCTAGGATGGGTACGGTAGGATAATTTTTATTTTAAATCCTTGTACCGGATCACTGTCATTTGGACCTACAAACGAGGCAATTAGCGAACGAACATGGAAATGAGAATTACACGAATTAAAATAGGTCCTTGGTCCTCTTATATCAATTAAAACGGTTTAAATAAAAGCTACTCTGTGCACGTACCATACATATTTTTACCAAGAAAAAAATATTGCTTGGATTTAGAGTACACGTATATAAGTGTACAGGGTAGGGTCTGCAAACGGTGCGAAAAGCAGACAACGTGCCGTAAAGGCTAACGACCCGGTAAGAGCGACCCAAATGTTGCCGGCCGGCCACGCGCCTGCCAGGACTGGTTGATCGGTCCAAGTGGATTGACAGTCGTCTGTCTGACTACTAGCCGACTCCTTTGACTAGCCCTAAGCATTGGCGCCAAAATTGAATTCGGACTTGGCGCTCCGCAAATCATCCAAGTAACTGGAGTGAAATAAATTTCCTGTGAAACAAGCATACTAGTAGTACTACCTGCCCCCCCCCCATCCTTTTCAATGTCTTTAGAAAATGCGTCAGATCTCACCCAAGAAGAACTGGAAGATGGACTACAAACCAAAGTTGCTGAAGCACAAACATGGTGCGCCAAGCTTCCCTTTGAAGGCCTTGTAGATTAGGATGGTGAATCTGCTGATTTGTTCTCGTTTGTCACCAACGTCATTGAAACAAGAGCTGCAAAATGTGATCCAAAGCAATGGCCACTGACCAAAAAAGGTCTGAAAGATTTGCTTCACCAGTTGAAAGTGATTGGTCTCAAGCACGGAAGCGAATTCGTATATGACCTCTCAAAAGGCTGGTTGGCTTGTTCTTATAGATCAAAGCCATACCATGGGACAAAACTACACGACTCAGAGCAATATAATGAAAAAGGGGTCCTTCTCCAGTGCCGACACAAGTCCTACCACCATGATCACTTAAGGACTCGTCCAGATGGCCTAACACAATCCCGAGCTACACATACTTCAAAGGACACTACAGGAGACAAGCTTTGCCCTTGCCGACTGCAACTGCGTATTCAGGTGTTTGTGTTGGCCTTTGTCATAAGTACTAGCACACCATCATAATTGCAAAAGAAATTGTGTGAGCTACCCAAACAGCCAAGGACACTACTGGAAACTGTCTAGGCAACTGTCGCCGATCTTTGAAATTCTCTAGGTACAAAGAGTTCATCTACGTTTCATGCAAGGGAGAGAAGATCCCAATAGTCATTCAATTCTTCATCACCAAGACCAACTTTTCTCCTTGCCTTTTTTGCTGTCTCTGTTTTGTCCATTTTAGCACCAGCTCCTGCAGTACCAAGGCCCAATTCCTGACTCACCTTCTCTGCCCTCCTTCATCTTGCGACTCACATTGATCTCCTAAGTCAAGAACTAAACTAAGAAAGTGTGTACACTCGAGGAGGCTGCTAAAATGATGATAAAGGGAAGATCAACGGACCGTGGTCAAAGCCTTTAAAGTCCATGCCCATCTGATGAGGAAAAAGTCTGGGCCATGCAGGAGATCAAGAAGGATCCTGCTCATGCGAGCGCATTCGTTTGGGATCTCCATTCTGAGATTGTGAAGCTGAAGGAAGAAAGTGACACCTTGGAGAAGAAGGTCAATCCTGTTTCAAAACTGCTTGAAGAGAAAGAAGAAGCCCTGCTGAGTGAAAAGAGCAAATATAAAGCTTTGGATTGGAACAAGAACATGGCAAAACGCTCAAACTTGCAGAGCGTGAAATTGTCATGGCCATGCATGAAGAATACAAGACTAATAAGACGATTCTAGCAGAGCAAACAAACAGGGCATCAGGGACCCCAAGAACGAAAGGATTGAAGCTCCTTTGCACCAAAGTGAAGCAACCATTGCAGGGTATGAAAAGGCGTTGGGCTTGAAGTCAAATGCTGAGGATTTGAGACAAGCCAACCAAAGGATCAAGGAGCTGGACCAGTCTGTCAATTCACCTCTTTTGATGCTGACAGAGCGAGAGCATTGATATCTACTGATGGCTCACTACTGTGTTCTGGTAAGGGACATTGTGGGGCTTTCACTTTTTTCCCTTTGTCATCATCTTCTGATTGGGTCGGAACTGGGGCATTGTTGTCCACTTGTGCTGTTGGACTGGTGTCTTCTGGTGGGGCAATCGCCTTGCCATCATTGTCATCATCACTATCTTCTAATGCTGGCGGAACTGCACTGTCCTCAGGTGACGGTGGACTGGTGTTTGTTGATGGTGCGGTCACTTTTTTTTCTTTCATCATTGACATTATCTTCTAATGATGTCAAAGGGACCTCTGATGGGGCGATGGCCAAGGCTTTCTATTTCTGTTTCTGTTGAGCCTTGGTGCCTGAGTCACTGTCTGTTGATGTGATAGCGCGCTTTGCAGTGGATGCTGCTGCAATGGATCGAGTGACAACTTGTGTAGC